TACCCCGAAACCTCAGTAGCGAAACACCACCACCACCACCACCACCGCCACCGCCACCGCCACCGCCACCGCCACCGCCACCGCCACCGCCACCGCCACCGCCACCGCCACCGCCGCCGCCGCCGCCGCCACCGCCACCGCCATCGCCACCGCACCACCACCACCACAACCACCACCATCGCCACCGCCACCACCACGACTATTTATTACCACGACGACGAGGACGACCACGACTACTTCTACTTACTGCTACTATTTTCTGCTGGGTGACATAAACTACTTCAACTGCTGCTACGACGATGTCGACGACGAGTTTGACAATTGCAGCCACTGGCTGTACTATTGCTGCTGTGCGATGACGAGCTTCAGAAGCATGTGATATCCACGGTGCGAGTCCAAAAGCTGGCCCGCTAGATGAGCAGCTACCATCCGGACTGGACGGGTTGGTCGGGGATCGATACAACTTGTCTCCGTGCTTTAATGCAAAGGGGAGTGACCGTTGGTCAGTCAGTGAGTGCGTCACCAGCGATGCTTGCTACTTGTGCCATGCTTCCCGATGTGCAGCAGAAGCATCGAGAGGCGAGCCTGACACCTCGTGGTCACCGTGGAGCCACAGATGCTTGGATTGGCAATTCGGAGTTTAATGTGCTCGTTCCAGCAACTCAGATAAAGGGAGCAATCAACAGCTGCAGACTTCGACAAGTTACACTTCCGGAGACCTCCAAATCCCAATACAGCTGGATAGCTCGGTCGACAGTGACCATGCCCTGACAGCCCAACCTAGACTCCTAGACGACAGTTGCATGCACAGGCAATGCATGTAGCCCATTCAGAGCGTCGGTGCATGGTTGGTCAATGTTGGACACAATGACTTTGCGTTGAGCGGGGCCGGATAGGAAAGCTTCACGAGACACCATTACTTTGGGATTTGGGTACGTGCATTTCACAATCATTGAGATCTCACGCATCCAAACAGTGCTTGGTCTGTCACCCATGCAAGCCCAAAAGGGGATTTCAAGACACCCAAGCTAGGGTTGCTACATCGTGCTTTGGCCGACAACATCTTTTGGTGAAGACTGCAACCATCAAGCTGCGTGCCCAATGACAAATACACGAACACACACTAAGCACCGATGCTGATACTTGTTTTTTCTACCTTCTTATTGCTAAGACCAATAATGTTCTACCTCATGTGCTCGCACAGAGAGGCTTCTTTTGGTCACCGCTGGACCTCGGACGATGCATCCGCCTACGCACATCGGCCACAATTGAAAGCAGCTCGAAGCCAGTCGCAGCCAGCGACAAAGCAGAAGAAAAAGACTCAGATGCCAAGGACAGCTTCTGCACCGGCTTTGTTTGCTCTTAGCTTTAGTGGTGCTGCTTCTGTTCTGGTTTTGTGTCGCAGGCCTTACTTTGAGGCAGAGGAAGTTGGCTTCGCACACCAAGAGCCTCAACAGTCTGACTGGGTTCCATACTACGAGGCAGAGGAGGTTGGCCACTCCCCACGTGCCCGTCGCGAGCAAGCCAGCGAAGAGCCCCGGCAGTCGGGCTGGCTGCCATACTATGAGGCAGCGGAGGTTGGCAACACGCCACGTGATCATCGAGAGAACGCCACCGAAGAGTCCCAAGAGTCTGGCTGGGTGCTGCCCAGCCTTCCTTTTGCAGCTTTTGCTGGATTTGCATCCGCAGCTGCCTGGTCGTCATCCCCTGCTGATGCGACGACTGAAGAAGACCTACCTTCCAGCGAGGCGCACCTTCGTGCGTAATGTGCTTCGGAACAGTGAGCGGCGACCCAAGACATTCACTGCATGCCTTGTGAAGGCAGCAGTTGCGGCTGATGCGCCACAGGACGCCTCACGAATATGGGTTTGGCGGGAGCTTCTTTCGTAATTGCGTAGCCGTCGCGTAGTGTCCGCCACAGGTTTGCCCTTCTTGTTCTAATAAAAACAATTAAATGTGGCCAGTCTCGCGGTGCAGTCATGAGTACTGTATCGTGGGTCGAGCTCGGCAGTAAGGCCAGCAGTCGAGCCCCTTGTGAGAAAAACTGTTCTTATCTTCTGCTGAGAAGTGCATTCGTTCTTTGTGTGTCTCGCCGGTGGTTTGGCTTTTTTTTCCCAATGCCTGGTGTTGGGGACGCGGCTGAACGGAGTATTCGGAGACGATTTTTATTATCTGTCTATCTATCTATCTATCTATCTATCTATCTTGTATATATATATATATCTGTGTGTGTGTGTGAGTGTGTGTG